CGAAAAACCAAAAAACCCAAAAAAAACCGAGGTTGAAAAACCCGAGTTTTATTGGTTTGGTTTATAAATTTAAAAATCCGACAAATGGTTTGGTTTGATATTTGAAAAATCCAAACCAACCCGGCTATGTACACCCCTATGGAGCACTAATAATCCCTCATGTTTGCAATATTGGTGCACTTTTGGTCCTCCCCTAAACTTTTGCTTATTTTTTAACATTAATTTTGATCATAATTTTATGTAAGGAATGTCCCATCGTCTTTTTATATATTTAGTAAAAATAATTACTCTATGTGAGAGAAGGTGAGAAGAAGAACATCTTGTTCTGTTCAGTATAAATATTACTGTAACTAAACTAAGAACATTTTTACATATGACATTGCAAGAAAAGAAAAATTTGTACTATTGCACGTGAAAACGTAGTGAAAACTCAAGGATGACTTTGAGTCTTAACCCAAAGATAAGGACTATTTTGGGCCTTTTCTCCACATAAGGCTCATATATGTTATGTAGGAGGGGTCTGATCTTTTTGACATGGTGAATCGAGTCATGGGTATCTAAGTTTCATGGATGACAATTTTCCACAATGTTTAAAGACTATCAAATTGTCCCACATAAGGCTCACATATGTTATGTACGAGGGGTCTGATCTTTGACATGGTGAATCGAGTTCACCATGTCATAGGTATCTAAGTTTCATGGATGACGATTTTCAACAAAATGTCTAACTAGTACAGATCTTTCCATTATTCAAGTCAATAGTGAAAGATACCCCTATAATGAATCGTGAGGAACTAAGGGTCCAGAAGATAATACTTCTCAACCGTCGTTATCCTAGATATATTATTTAAAACAAAAGGAGGGTTTTCCGCATGTACTAGTTTATAAAATTTGCCGCATAAAATATAACACAGCCGTATGTACGAGTTCGAGTCCCCTCTAGGTACGAAGTCATCTTTGTTAGGGAGGATTTTATCCCAATGTGGGGACTTTCGGCAGACCCCAAAACAGACTCCAATTTTATCACCAAGACTACACTGACAAACTCAGTTTTCTCTCAATCAACTTGACCCTTTTGGGATGAATACTGAATGGCGAATGCACTCGTATTTTTAGCATTTTTCCGCAACAAAAAAACATGTGAAATTTAGAGGGTGATTTGTACGCAGTCTTACTCCTACCTTATAAAGGTAGAAAAGTTATTTCTGATAGACCATCGATATAAGTCAAGCATATCAAAAGCAAAGTATCAAAACAAACAGTAGTAAAGAAACACATGCTAAAAAAAAAGAGGAGAATCGTATGAACAACAAATAATATGGTAACAAAAATAAAAGGAAACAACATATAATGATAAAATCCTAGAATACGAAATTAGGAGAATAATAATAACAATACTATTAAGGAAACTAAACAATGTTGGACTACCTACTAATTTCAATCCCAATATCCTCTTAATAAGGAATCATATCCATGGTAAGCTCTAGGTTTGTCATATCGTGTCTAATCACCTTTCCCCGATGACCATTTTTTTCCCACAAGTATCACAAAATGCTTGCTAGAACATATAATTTAGTTTTACTGTTACTCTACATGTTGAACCCCATCAATGTCACAATACAAGCCAGGGGATACTTCTCAAATGGTTTGCCAGAATAACCCATCAATTATTACATGACACAAAATATAATCAGATTACTCCTGATGAACATCCTACACATTTAGAAATATACAAATAAGCAAAGGGAAATCAAATAATTGAGCAGGATCTTTTTCTTGATGACCGATAAATCGGTCTGGGCCCAACCCTTAGAACCAACCGCAATCTCCACTTAAATATCAGGCTTAGTTCGCATGATGCAAGGCTCGAACTCCCCTCAACCTTTGCCACTTGACCAAAGCCCTGAGCAGGACTTTGCCTGCTGTTTCTGATATACATCATTGCTTTACCTAGGCAGAGGCTCCACAAGAAAACTGGTTTGGTTGAGGGTACAAGATCCAAGCAAGCAATTACAAAAGAATCGACTGCACTGAAAGAGAAGTTCAACATAAAATTTAAGGGTTCAAAAATGTGAACACTGTTTGGGTAAGCTATTTAAGCATCAAACACTTCTAAAAGGTCAACCTACTCGACATGACACAGATAGGATTGTTTGACATCAGCCCAACGATACTGAATATTGACAATTTTTCAATTGATCAGCAAAAGATGTTGCCTTTAAAGTGTCCCTGAAAGGGATGGGCGTTGTGAGTCATAACATTAACTCTGGTTTTTTGGACTTATGATTTGAGCGAGGAAAAGCAGATAATATAGGAAGAGATACATGTAATGCTTGGTTGATTAATTAGCTTGGAAAATCATTTACTCGAACCAACTTGGTATAAGAGCCATGACTTCATCTTTCTCCAACACCACTCGACTCACTCCCTCTTAGTCCCCCCTTGGACTTCCAAATCCTCCAGTCTATAACCTCAAGGTTCCATACCTATTGAAGCTATGTATCTGAATTACCTAACTTGGAGACAAGTCAGAACCTTCTTTTGTCGGTTGAAGGTTCAATATACCTTGCCCACCCACTACACATGAAGAATGTCATTTACGGATCCAATATGATACTATTACACCCAGTTGGATAAATGTCACCTTTTCGCCACTAGTTCTTGATTCTCACCTAAACTTTGTATGTGAAACTTGTAAAGAAGTGTGTGATACCTTGGTGTCTCTTTACCCTGAACAATTGTCCTCAACTATTCTTCAAGAAAAAATTCATAATCTCAAAAGAGGCTCACTTTTCTTTTCTTTTTTGATAACCATGGGGTCCACCAAGACTAATTTCAGGAAATACCATCTCCTAGCATTGCACTCATTGCTTGTTCTCTGACGGCTACGGAGAACTTGTCAAGGGGGAAGATCTTGTCGCTCAGGCATAAGCGTCGCCAACTTCCCACTCTACTTTTGTTTCAGGACTAAATGCCACTGGTCACTTCCTCCCCATAGTCACGGGACCAATCTTTTTAACAGAAGAAACTCTCAAGTCTTATCAATGCAAACGTCCCCTGAGGCTACCATAGCAGAGATCATGGTCAACCCATCAACCCTTTAATAACTCTTGTCGCAGATTTTGCTCTCAATGTACTAGAATGTGACATCTTGCTTAAAGGTGGTTTTTATCGTTCTCCTTTTCTTCCGTTGAAGCAGTCAGATTTGTTTTGACTTCCATACATCCTTAGAATGATGAAATACCCATGAACAAGCACTATTGTTTAGATGGAGTAACTTATCAAGCTGATGCCACAAAGCACGAAATCATCTTCCAGATGATCAGAAAATCATTAGATCCTGCTGAATCTGATAAACAGCGCAGACGATGTGAAATTTGTTTGTTTTGTTTCTGACTCCATTCAACGGCTCAAAAGTTATGCCGGACATCAGGAATAAATCCCCCCACCCCCACCCCCAGCACTTTCTGTAGCAGCATCTTAAGGAAACAAATTCATTGACTCTACCAACACTGCTAGAGTCTTCCGTTCCTCCACCTCGTCTTTCTTATATTTCTATATTAAACTACCTAGGACCGTATGAGCAGAGTCCCCTAAAGTGTTCTTCAGTAGGTTTATGGTTGAAAAATGGGAAGGAAGAGGAAGCCTGAAGGAGTTATGCTAATTCACCTTCTTTTTATCTCATTTCACTCTGAGAAAGATTAACTTCAGCAACCAGCAGAGCTTGGCAAGTCAAAATACAAAAGCTAGTGCACTAACATAAGAATCAAATAACCAGAGCATCCAATTCAGAAACTTAAAGATAATGAATGCAATGGCCCTGTACATTATAAAACCTTTTGAAATTTTTTACACACTCGATGAGAGACAAGTGCTCTAACACCCTCCTGCACATGTAACTGAGTTCTTGAGTCTACACGTGGATTCAAAATCTCTTTTTTTAGCACATTGAAGAGTAGACATGATATAGAGAGACAAAAATCAGTCTCAACTGGCTGAAGAATGGGCCTGGAAATGAGGAGAGTAGGCTCAAATGGCTAAAAAGTGGGTCTAGATCAAAGTTTGTGGCTCGATGAGCTGAATTGAGAGAGAAGAAGAAGCTCAGAGTCCATAGACCAAGCTGAGAGAAAGCTCAGAGCATTGCAGTAGATAGAAAGAAGATTATTGTACAAATTGGCTTATCAAAGTTCAAGTCTGATACCATATTAAGAGAATGGACCTCGGGCCTTAACTCAACCCTCAAAAGCTAGCTCATGAGGTGAGGATTGCCCAAGACCATACAAGGAGCTATTTTGCTTGGACTCTTCAAAGATATCTATGGGTGTGGGTCGGATACTCCAAAAATAGTACTTTTGTGGAGGATCCGACACAAGTACGGCAACATTTTTGGAGAGGCCAAGCAACATAGACAAGGAGACTAGTTAACTATCTCACTACCAATGTGGGGCTTTTAACATCCCTCCCCCTCCAGCATTGCCCATACCGAGACATTTAAAGTGTGAACAGTACAAATGAGGTCTAACATCGGATAAACCAAGAATCGAAATAGGTCTGACTCTTATACTATCTCCACGTTGGTTGAGGAAATTGGTTGTAGTCTTGGAGAATACCCCCCTCATGAGCTAACTTTTGAGATTAAATCATACCCAAGGTAACAATCAAAATTGTACACATTCTGTGCATGTTATTCATCTTCATCTCAAAGAATTCTGGTAAAGTAATAATTCATCAAGCAATCATATGATAAGTCACCACAAGATCTCCTTACCTGGAAAAAGCTTGAGCGAGCAATGTCATACACTCATTCTAGTCCCAATTTCTCAAAAGAAGTCCCATACTCGCCTTCAGTGCTGCAAACCTGCATATTTCACAACTTTAAAGAGTATATGTTAGCAGGATATATCTACAATTTATGCCATCAAATATTCACAGTTCAGCACAATTAGCAGAGAAATAGCAGACCAAGGAGAGGGGAATAGAAGAAAAGAATCAATCGAAAGTAATTATCAACTAAAATATTTATAATCACTCATTCAATATTATGTCCCATCAACTAAATGATGGCTAGTATCCCAATGGCACACTGAAGGCCCAAGGGTACTCTTTCCTAAAAACTATCATTCTTGGGCTGGTTGGCATGGCTTTCAGACTGACCAAAAGGAGACCCATCAGCTGGCCACTTATCAACCCCAGAACTTCCAGCTGCCTGCAAGGGATCTATATCCCACAAATCTGACAAACCAGAGCTAACACCGAAGTCTGGGACATAGCTGCTACAACTATCCCATAACTCGGCGCCAGCACTGGCTTCAAAACCCATACTCCAAAGTTCCTCGTCTTTCACCATACTTCCAATAGCTGGTGAGGAAAATCCTGAAATGTTTTTCTCCTTCCCCATCTCCTCTGGAAAAGAGGCAAAGTACTCAGGCATAACTTCTAATTGAGGACTAGCTACATTCTTCCCTTTGAAATGAGAGCCTTCGGGGTTAAAGAATGAAGCTCCTCCTATTTCCCGATCTGAACAATTAAAAAGTTCATGTGCTACTGCCAGTCCCTCAGATGCAACAGTACCACCTTCAAAAGGCATGGCTTCCACTCCTAAACCAGTTTCTGGGAGTTGTTGATCCACAACTGGATTGAAATCTGGGTTCTCAAACCATGCTGCAAGGTCTTGAAAGTCAGACCTGACCTTGACTATCTGCCCTTCCATGGAAGACGACCCCACTCCATCCGGACCATGTGGCTGATGTTTAACAAATTTCCTCATTGTTCTTGGACAAGTAATTTCTCCTTGCTCCTTCATCTGCCGAACACGAGCCAAGAATGCAGGATTCTGAAGCACCTTGGCCAAGAATGAAACCATCTGCTTCTGTCTTTGTTCTGCTGCCTGAAGCTTTTCATTAACAGATTCCATTTGTTGAACTGTCCCACGCTGCTGCTGCTGCAACTCAACAACTTCCTGCATCATCAAACTCTTCTCATTCCTGAGTTTCTCTATCTCATCCATAGTACCTTTCCCTGATTCAGCAGATAATCCAGAAGAACTTCCAGCCTGATGTGACTTTCGCCTCTGTATATTCTTCAACAAATGCCTCTTCCCTCTCAAGAACCCTTCATTTGCAAACTCCCACCTGTCAGCATCGATTTTGCGAAATCCCTGAATAAAGTTGCCCAAAAGTAAATCAGAAACAAAAATTGTAGAAACTATCAGACCAACAACATGAGCATAAATCATTATTCATATAACAAAATGAAATTTTTACATAAAGCCAGATGCTAACTGTCAAATTTTCAAGAGTTCCAGGAGCTGCATTACACTATAAATACACAATTAGTAGATCTTTTGAAGTAAGACCATATATAAACTGCAAAGCTTAAACACTCTGTTTAATCAGAACCTTAGAATTCTACCTGCAGCATTAGATGAACCTCCCAAACTCAGCAGATGCATCAATGCAGGGAGCTTTATCTACAAGCCCAAATCACGAACAGCGCACCTCTTAATCATTTTCCTTAAGAACCATCCACTTTAATATCCACTAAAGATCTCAATGACATCATTTACACAAGGTACCAAAGACATTGAACTATCAAGAAGAAAAAGCAGTTCTCTAATGTTCATTTACAATCGCAGGAGCCTATACTGTTTACAACGCGAAAAATCTATTTACATTTACATCCTAAAACATCATTTTTACAGTACATCAACAAGATAAGAGCAAACAAACTACAGAAAAATGAGGGGGGGATAAAGATACATGAAAATCTACAACAGAAATTACATACAAGAAAAAAAATCACAAAAAAAGAGAGAGACAAGAGTTAGAGAACTAGAGATTTAACACATTAGCCAAAAAAAATCGGCCAGTGTGCTAAAATTAATACCCACGTATGTATTAAGCTGTCGAACAAAGCTGGAGAAATTGCTGTGCTTGAAATTCCTAGGAAGAACCAATCTTGAAAACTCCACTGGATCCCAAACTACAAAGCTTTCTCCATTTCTACCCCAAGAAATAATCGAATCCAATAAAGGGTCCTCAACCAAATCAAAAGTCTTTGACAAAAATGGCGGAATTTGTATCCCATGTAAACACTCCATAGGGTGCGGCACACCCAATCCTTCCTCAGCTGGCTGTTCAATTTCTCCTCCCTCTCCTTCTCCTTCTCCAACTGGGTGTTGGCTCAAAGGAGTGGCAAAAGATCCAAAATTGATAAAAGGAGAAGATGGGTCAGCAAAAGGGAGTGAAATTGGTGAAAGCGCAGCAAATTCAGAGTCCATTTCAGTCAAAAAGGGGTTTTTTGTATTAGTATCAGATTCTTGTTTTTTATCAAATGGGTTCATATGATACAAAGAGATTTGTGGTTTTATGGATCAAAGATTGAAACTTTATAGTTTTTTTGGATCAAAAGATTGAAAATTTCGAAAAGGGTGTTTGATAATAAGTCGGTAAAAGGGGTTTAAGGGAGGTTTATATAGGTAACGCCGACATACAAACCAAGAAATATCTCCTGAAAACAACTGTGTAAAGTCGGTGGAGTTTTTCTCTTGAAGCTCCATTTTAATTTTTTTAATTTTTTTTTTTTTTTTTGATTCTTGTATGGTTTTCTGGAAAATGAAAAAGATTTATGAGGAAATAACCAGGTTGTTTCTGGGGATTTAAATATTGTGGAGGAGGAAGAAGAACAAATGGGGTCCATTTATACACAGAAAGCAGATATTTTTGTGAAGATTTTTTGTAACTTTTTGGAGACAAAGTTTAAGAATTAAGTAATTGAATTCAACAATGGTGGTGAGTTGGTCCAATGGAAATGGAGATATTGAATAGAAGAAGATTTTATTAATGGAGTTTGTGGGGTGCCACTGTCTGTCTTCTGCATTAAGTAAAATACTATTTGTTGAGGATTTTTTTAAAGAGTAATTGACAAAAATGGCCACTTTTAGTAGGTACAACATCAGAGGGATAATAATTTCGAAAAAAATATAAAATTATTATCATATGCTAGTTAATTTTGAGAGTCCTTATAGTATAATAATTGATTAGTTAGTTTATGGTATATAATGAAATAATTTACCTCGTGAATTTTTTTTAAATTTTTTTAGATAACTTTATTTATTCTTCCATCTCCATATCAAACATTATCTTGAGTCTTGTGTTGTTTTTCAAGCAAATATATATTTTTTATTTAGCTTATTATATTTTATATACAAATAAAAAATATTATCCTAAAATTATGTAGATAGTGGTCAAGGGTAGGGTGTAAGGGATGGAGGACAGTGTGAGTGTGGTTATAGGGTAATTTTGCTATGTTGAAATTATGTCCGAGGTTAGCTTACTATAAGGCAATTAATGTTTCACTTGACTTGACTTGTTTAGTTGTTTATCAATATTGCTTAATATTTGGATTTAGATTTTTTTTTTATTGTGGAACTCAAATGAATACAATGATACACATGAAAAAATTTAATTTTTCATATTGATTAAATAACGTAATTTTTTTTATGTACTTAAATAAAATTTGTCAAATTTCAACTTTAACTTTGGCATAATCATAAGTCGACCCCCAACACTTTATTGAAACTCGCACATTTTTTACCCTTTGATTTTTTATCATGGCCAAAGTTGCACATTTATGATACATGTCACATGTGACAGTATTTGACTTACAATTAATAGTTTAGCGATATTTATCTCAATCAAGATAAATTAAAACTAAAATGCACAGTATATAATCAACTATCTAGACAATTCAAATTCGAATTACAAAGTTAAAATGAGAAATAAAAAATTTACTCACAAACATGAAAGAAATTGTCTCATGTGTGCGGCATGTGTTGCCAAAATTCAACACCACCACGGACCTATGTTGTACACAAATTTGGCAAACTTTTGTTTAATTTGTATTGTTCATTAACTTTTTTTTCTTTAGCTTTGTCCTGACATTAGTTCAGACCTTAGAACTTGCCAACGTGTCATCATGTTCACTATCGGCGTTATTCAGTGCTCATGTCATGATGCATAGTCTTCTCGCCTTGTTTGTTTCCAGTTTTGATAATGCCACCACATTATTCACGTGAATGATTCAATCCACATATAAATTTTTAACAAAGTTATTTATATCAGTTCTTTATCGTAATTGTACCATTTGTCGAGTTTAATAGTCATATCATAAAAGCAATTGTAGTCGTCTCATTAATATTTTATTTTAAAAAATTCTATTTCACGTCCATTACATTGATGTTCAAATTTAAATTTTTTTAAAAATACATATATCAAATTACCCTTATTTAGAAATTTGGGAAGGAAAGATAAAGACAAATTTGTAATTTTATTATTTACTTTCAAATTTACAAATTCCTATATATGTTATGTATATACACACATTTTTCTTCATTGTTTATATCGTCAGACTCTAAAATCCGCTCTAGAGATCAATTCTCTCTCCCCTAATCTTAAATTTTGTTCATCATTCAAGATACTCTATTTTGATTATAATTTATTTTGATGTTGTTGTATTAAAAGTGTTTGTAAGTTCTTCTTCTCCTTTAGATTTTTGTGCTTTGGTTCTTGGGGAATTGTAATATATATATTTTTTGTTGTTATTTGTAATTATAATGATTTTTTGAGTTATTACAATATAATGTTATTGCACAAGATAAATTTCACTAATGTATAATAACTCGTAAATCATATAGAAGAGATAAATTATACTAGATAAGTTTTGTGTGACAAACTCGATTTCAGAGTCGCCACCCCTACTATTGTAGACAAGAAATTTTTTACTTGAGACCTTCAATATAAAAATTTCAAGGTAAATCTTCTGAGTCATCCCTAATGCTTGTCAAGTATGAATTGATATATTATAAAATGGTGTATTCATATTATATTTTAAACTAGACAAATAAAAAATTGTAAAAAAAAAGAGACTAAACAAACTGAGTAGGACAGGGCAAAACAATTTTTTTAATAGGACAGAATAATATGAATCAAAATCTCTACGGATTAAGGCTTGGTCTACCCCATCTCATCCTAATTGTCATCCCTAAACTGTTAAATAAATATTACTCAGTTTCTTATATTTTATATACAAATAAGAATTTTTATCCTAAAGATAATTATATATTTAAAATAAGATTATGAAGATCAACGGAAATAAGAGTAGGGTATAGGTTTTGGGGAGGGGTAGGGGTAAGGGTTAAAGGGAAGGGTGAGTGGATGGGATCTATAGCAAGGGTGATGGTTGCTATGTCGAAATTTTGTTCGATGCTAGTCTGCTATGAGGTAACTAATGTCTCGCTTGACTCAATTGGTTTATTGAGCTTCTTAATATTTGGACATAGATTATTTTTTGATGCGGACCTGAAATGAACATAATGATACATACGAAAATTTTCAATTTTTATATTGATTAAAAATAACGCAAAAGACCTTCATTCGTTATGACAATAAATCTGTCATAACTTCAACTTGCGCATAATTATAAGTTAACTTGTTGCCCAAAACTTTATTGAAACTATCACATTTTTCATCATTTGATTTTTTATCATGGACAAAGCTGTACATTTATAATACAAGTGACAATCTTTGACTTATAACTAATAATCTCATGATATTTATCACAATCAAGGTTAATTAAGCTAAAGTGCATACGATATAACCAATTGTCTAGGCAATTCAAATTATAATTACAAAGCTAAAATAAGAAATAAAAAAATTGCTCACAAGTAGTTACATGAAATGAATTGTTTTACGCGTGCGTCATGTCAACCCTCGACCTCTTTAGGGTATGGCCTACCGGCCTGCAAATATAGGAAGGCTACCTACCTGCTAATCAAACTGCGTAACCACAGCGACTCTTTATTGGTGGTTGATAGGTGTTGGTCCGATTCACCTATGTCAGTTCAAACTTGACGGGTCGTGTACGTCGAGTATTTGTTAACTTTGGGCTTCACAAACATCCAAGAATAACAGCCCAACTAAACTCATGGGCTCCAACAAGGCCCATATATCTACCCCTTTCTCTCTTCTCTATCCTCCTTATTAACGAATTTTTGCCCCGACCCATATATATATGAGCTACACTTTTTCCCAAATCAATCAAAAACCCTATCTCCCATTCCAATTTACAGCTGAAAAATCCCCAATTGAAGCTCACAACTTTCAGTTTATATCGGTAAAGATCAGATTTAGTCCCATTGATTCGAGTTGTTCTTAAAATTTACATGGATTTAGTAATAAGTAGTGATTTTGTTGTTTGTTTTGATTTTGCGTTTTTTTTATAGCAATTTTGGATGTAACCGATGTAAAATAATTCGAATTTAGGGTTAGTTTTTTTGTTTTTCTTTTTTGATGATTGTTTGGATAAAGTGATGGAAATGGAGGGTTCTCGTAGACCATTTGATAGATCAAGATTGGAGCCAGGACCTAAGAAACCAAGATTAATCGAAGCCCCAATTGGAACTGAGCGAGGTTCTAATGGGAGAAGCTTTATTCCTCAACGGGGAGCTGGGAATTCGAGGATTCGAGCTAGTGATAGAGGGGGAGACTCGGAAAACAGTGATTCGATTCGCGGGTCTTTTCAACAACAACAACAGCAGCAGCAGCAGACACAGCATCAGGAGCTAGTGAGTCAGTATAAGACGGCTTTAGCTGAACTGACATTTAATTCGAAGCCGATAATTACAAACTTGACTATTATTGCTGGTGAGAATTTGCAAGCTGCCAAGGCAATTGCTGCTACTATCTGCAACAACATTATTGAGGTGATATTCCGGTTTTAAATGCTACTGTGTCAATGTTGTTGTTTTTGTTTAATTTAGTGTGTTTTATTACTTGTTGTACAGAAGTGAAATCTGATAAAGAAGGTAAAGTTAGATTTATAATTTTTTAGATTAGTGCAGCTGGTGTAATATGAGTGTTGTAGCTGAAAATAGAGTAAAGATTCTGTAAATGATTTCTTGGTTAGTGATAAAGTTGGTGGATTTGGAACAAATTTGGTCTCTTTATGAAATTATATAGTTGCTTTGCTATGGTGATGGAGATGTCATGATTATAACTTTAGCTGGTAGAATTTTCCATTCAAAGTTATCCGAATAGCATTGTGATTCAATTCCAAAGTGCAGTCACAGTTTTTCCACAGCATTGATGAGAATGATTATATGTGAGCCGTTGGGGAAAAAAAAGTACTTGTATTTCCAATTTCTAAGCTTTTCTCCTGGATGTATCTCAAAAGTATCATATTTCTTTAATTAAAGAATGATTCGTGCAGTTGCTATATGTGACTGGTTAATGTCTGGCCAATACAGACTCATTTCACATTTCCTTTTAGGTTCCCAAAAGGCCA